TGAGGCCATGCAAATCCACAGTTGCTACTGATGGCTGAGACTGAGAACGTTGCGCACAGATTGTTAGATGTCGAACCCAGCAAGGGGTGCGCAATCCAAACCAATTCTGTTTGAAAATGTAATTAGATAGCTTGACGATGTAGCTAGATAGAGACAGCAGTCTTTGCTTTGAGGGTAGAGTGTTCCAGTTCCAGTGATCAGGGCTCAGAGCTCAGGGTCAAGTTAGAGCAAGGTGTTGTTTCAAAAGCGTACTTTGGTTGAATGTGTTTGTTTTAGTTGGTTTGTTTCATTCAGTGATGTTATTCAACATATGGTTGTTCTTGTTGGAACCCCAAGCCAGATGCCTTGATGCAAATTTCTGGCCAACTCGACCTGCTTACATGGGATCGTGAGTTGCACGAGTTGCCAAAAAACAATGGCAGTTCCAATGAAGTGCACCAGAACCAGAGCTCCCGACAAAAAAAGCAGGCAGAACTGGTCAGCTTTGTGTGGACTGTGTGTGGTTCTAGGAGAGGACGATTGGACAAAATAAAGCCGCTTAAGGACAAAAACAAGCTTAACCCCCATGCCCTTCACCTCACATGTATTTTTTGTTTCCCTAATTATCAGAATTTAAAAAACAAAAATAGAATTAACTGACCTCTAAATCCACATAGGTTATGAAATTTAGCAGTTCAACCTGGAGGCAAAGTGTTGTTCTTTGAGTCCAAAAGCCAACTGCGACTTCCAGACAAATAACGTACTTGCAAGATATTTGTGCCTCCAAAAGAGAGTCTTATTTTCACAAACGTGTCTATTGCAGTGCACTATAAAGGCAAACAGCTCAGTTTTATCGTGAATGTGAAGACCATTCGGTTTACTATGCTACCATTTGGTTTGAGCTTGTGAAGACCCCAAGAGAAAAGGTTTGTGGAGTTTGTCTCGGTCCACATGGCGCTGGGGTGGGAGCATTATCGTATCCAGGCAGATGCATATTTTAATGTATAGGAAGAACCAATAGAAACAGAAGGTAGAGGCCTTACCAAGCCCCTTAAATTAGTTTTTCTGATTTGTTTAGCATTTATCCAGACTTGGTTGCACTCAGCAGGCCTTTGTGCTGGGTTTCTTTACTTCCTGGGCGATCTTTGCGCTGCTCATGTTGGTGTCTTTGGCCAACTTTCAAACAAGCAGAAACGATACTCTGCTTTTCCAAATCCAATATTCCTCTGCCTACGAATGACATTTTATCAATTGCCACCAGAAAATGTACAATTTGTGTGTTTGACAGCAACTGATAGCCATATCACTCAGGCAAGATCCTCGGAAAGTCGTAGTTGGCTTCTTTACGTTGTGCCAATCTGCACAGCGGGGCGCCTTTTGATGATTCCAGTGACTTGGACAAACACCTGACCGGTGTGCGACAGTAGGAAGCCAAATGAAACAAAAAAAAGTTGCTTGTCAACATGAAGAGCTCTAGTTCCAACAGGTTTGATGGCAAGCTAAGTTACTGTATTTCATTGTATGAACTCCAGCCCTTACATGCCCAGGTGATCCGAGCCGAGCGTGTGAAGTTCACACGGATGGCAGATATGGCCAGATGTCAAAACATCTCCCTGGAGACGCACCTCGGCGCAGAGATTCGACCATTTGACCTGAGCAAAAGATGAGATGCACGCTGCATATATATATATATATATATATACTGACTGTATACACAAGTATATACACTTACAACACACAAATGACAGACAAGCCTTTCTGGATGTGTGAACTCCTGTGGACAAACAGGCAAGATGATTTCAAGATGATGGGTAATCCGGTAAGTGGTAAAGGAGAGAAGTCTAAGCGAGACTGCGACCTTGGCATACATTGATTGGTGTGCCATCCTTTTGCAGGATCCAGAAGGCTATCCTGGAAACACCGGAGCGGGTGCTCAGTCAGAAGCAGAGACAGCGATTGTTACGCCTTGCAGAGCAACAAGATCTGAATCAACAGCGGCCGTTCTGGGAAGAAGCTGATGTGAGGCACCTGATACCTGGTCAACATGCCACGAGCACGGGCACAGGGCTATGCAGGAGGATATGGATGGATATCGGGTTTTGATTATGATTAAATTACATGTTTGTTTGTATCTGTCTTTAGGGCATGCGAACAGGTGGCTTGCCAGCGGCCAGACAAACGATTGAGTACAGCAAGCCAAGATCCAGCGTGCGCAGCACCCTGCAACAACAACAACAATGAAACTTGTTTACTGTATTTACTCCTGCTCACTCTTTCCATGACAGCATCATTTACTGTTCAATTCACACTCTCTCCCTCTCTCCAGCGAGTCTCCAGCTCTCACTAACTGGGTCGTTGTCTCTCTCCCTCTCTCTTTGCACGTGTCCCTCTTGCACACATGCATGTCCAGCGTAGTATTGCAACAAAATACGCGTATATATACATGTTGTATGTACAAGAATATACAATACACAGTACGTTTTAGTTTTATGGGATTACAATTACAGATGTACACAGACAGTTGTTCATCACTGTTCTTCATTTGCTCCTCCCATTCTTCCCTGCTTCAGTCGGTTCCTACGCGATGCTGGTGCAGAGCTTTCAGAGCACAGTGGCGCAGCAGGCACTGCAGCATTGCTCACTGGCACGAGACTCAGACACCGCAACTCTCGCACTCACACCTGGCTATCAGTATGTGAGGGCATATGGGCCAGGCACTTTTTTGCTCCAGGTTTCTTTAAAAGGGTGCAGGCTGTGTCGTGTGTGGCAAGAGAGATCGGTCGAAAAAATCAAGAGCGCTTGTACCTATACCTATACAGCCTATATACAGTATATATATATATACACATTTGCTTTATTGTCTAATGGCGCAGCTCGTGGATTGTCCTAGGTGTAGTTTCCCGGCTTGGTGGCACTTCTGCCTTCAACAATTACGGTATCTGAGCTAATTGAGACAGAGTTCAAGCAATCTGGACCACAAGCGAGATGCTAAGTGGCCTTGCAGACTTTGTCCCACTGTGTAGGTATTTTTGCGACTTTCAACAGTGGACGCTACTATCTGCTGACCAGTGACCCTGCAAACTTCCTTCTATTTAGTGTGGCATGCTTCTTGGATGGCTGCATTGGTCCATTGTGCCAGGGCTGCAGACCATATTCTGGTAGTGCATTCACTTGTGTTCAAAGTCTGGGCACCATACTTGTTCCCACAGCAAGCAGAAGTGCTTGTCAAAAAGTCCAGTGAATGTACTGTAAATGTGTGATATGTATATGTAATTAGTAGTTTGAGACATTTGGAGCACATGGTTGTTTCAAGCCAGAAAACCACTGTAGCTTGATTGTGCCCGGCCCTACTCTCAGGCAGGCCGATTTAATTTCGTTGCTGACGAGTGCTATCATCACACAAAACGAGACTGCGGCAATTCAGCAGATTGCTTTTTATGTCGGTGCCGTGGTTGCAGGGGTGCGACCTAGTTTATCCTAGTTCATTGTTTGTACCAGGCTCATGGTTTGTATAAGGTCTAGCTTGTACAGATGACAGATGTGTCCCCTGTCCTTTGCAAGAGCCTCCTCCTTTGATTTTGTCTTCATGAGCACTTGGTTGTGTGAAAAAGGATCATCCAACCCTCCATAAGAACTTCTTGATCCCTGCAAAGATCGTGTTTTAGATTATTCCAATCTTTGTTTTCTCAAATTGTGTATTTCAACATTACATTGTCTCAGACTCAGTCGCGTAACTTCACAGTGTTGTATGCACTTCATGTTTCTGAACACTGATAATATTCTTGTATAAATGCGCCTGCTCTTTTTTAAAGCACCAGCTTACCTATAAATGTAACTTAGTGACATTTGAGTCAATGAAACCGTTCCACTTTTCGAACATTCTACCAGCATAGACCCCAAACAGCTTAGTCAGCAAGAATTGTTGTTGCGGTGGGCAGCTGCAGCCCCTGCCTCGGAAAGCAATGTGAAGGACCAGAAAGGGACAAGAAAGGACAAAAGGATGAGGGAAGGAAAACAACACAAACACATCACAGACCAAGAGACTAGCTGTGACGGACAATGCTAAAAGGACAACAGGACGACATGAGGGAAGCATGCCAAGAGGAGAACAAGGGAGAAGCACGGAGATAGGCTGGAAGAACATGAGGAAGAGAGGACCGAACAGATTTTGAGAAGAGGAAAAGAAGAGGACATCCGGATAGGGCGTGTCGGCGTGGCCTGACACTGTTACGAAAGCCAGCCTTCGTAGAAGGCGCCAGCGGAGTTGTGTTTGGCGAACGAAGTGAGTAGTTAGGGGGTCTGGGGGGGGGTGGCCCGCAAAAGGTACACGTAAACTCGGCACATGCTGGGGGAGGAGGGTGCGTCGAGGGAAGGTTTTTTGAGGTTGTGTTGGAGGTGATTTTTGAGGGGTGGTGATGCAAGAAGTGCAATTTGCATCATTTGCATCATCTGAATGGAAAGGTGTAGTTGGCACCTTGCCAGGTATAGAGACCCAGGGTAGCTATGGTGCAGCTACCAGGTATAGTACTTCAAGTTCCCTTTCCGTCAACCGCTCGATAACCTCTACACACGCACAGCAATCCACAGCTTTGAAGCCTCATGCGCGCGATACCTGGGAACAGAATTGTAGCTACCGTGGGTCCGTATGAATGCTATGTTGCTATACCTCTTACACACCTATACCGATACCAGTTCAAAGCACGAATGAGACTTCATAGCTGTGGTTTGCTGTGCATGTGTGGCTCGAGAAAGATATACGTAAACTCTGGAAGGTGATGCTTTGATGCTTTTGGAGCGGGTGGCGACGCACTCGCCAACTAGAACACATACCCTTCAATAGGAACTCGAACAGCTCAAATCCAGAAGATTCTGAAAATGGCCTGGCTCCCTATATGAAATTTGGGAAGACTGGGAAGGAGGAGGTGGAAACTCCTTTGGCAGCAAACCCTGGTCTCAGGCCACCTTGAATTTAGCTTGAAAACCACAGCTTTGAAGCCTCATGCGCGCAGTACCTGGGAACAGAATTGTAGCTACCCTGGGTCCGTATAGATGCTATGTTGCTATACCTCTTACACACCTATACAAGTTCAAAGCACGAATGAGACTTCAAAGCTGTGGTTTGCTGTGCATGTGTGGCTCGAGAAAGATATACGTAAACTCTGGGGGGTGATGCTTTGATGCTTTTGGAGCGGGTGTGACGCACTCGCCAACTAGAACATATACCCTTCAATAGGAACTCGAACAGCTGAATGTGGATGGGAATTATCTCTGTGGGAACAGAATGTTTTTTTCTTTCGAAATTCAAGGTGGCCTGGGGCCAGGCGTTTGCTGCCCTAAAACCATTGTTCAGGCCACCTCAAAAATGAAGAACAGATTCAAACAAGGATACCTGGATAAGGCCGCTCCTAAAAAGACCTGCTACAACAAGGTCGATGGGGGGGGTGTGCACGAACGTTTATCGAGCTAAACGCAAGTCGTTGTTGGGTCCGCGCGCGTGAATCTTTATGAAACTAAATGCAAGGTGGCCTGGGACCTGGGTTTGCCGCCTTCAAACACTATGTTCAGGCCACCTCAAAGCTGAGCTGTGCTTGGCGAACGACGTTAGTAGGTCGGGGGTCGGGGGGGGTGGCCCGAGAAAGGTATACGTAAACTCTTGGAGGTTATGTTTTAGTGATTTTGGAGCGGGTGGTGATGCAAGAGTGCATTTTTTGCTTTTGCATGGTTACCTATGCGTGGGCAGAACAAGACATGAAGCAGATTTGACACGCGGCCGCAAGCTGCTGCGCGAGCTCATTTGATTGCTTCGACGCGCAGTTGTCAAGAAAGGGAAGCGCTGGCTTTCGTTTTGCAGCTTCTCAGTGGGCAGCTTTTCTACTGCATTTTTCGTATGAGAGAACCCGCAAGAAGAGGACAAGAGGGGGACAAGGAGACAACATCGGCTTCTGAGTCCTCTTGCTAGCGCCTTGCTTCTTTGTAACGCCCGCTTGCATGTTGTCATGATTACATGCTGACAGGCTGCTGCATGGACATGCTGCGGTACTGCGGTCTTTGCACTTGCCAGCTTGCACTTTCCCACTAGGTGCCACACAAGGCTTGCGCTGCACGTGCGAATTGTTTTCTCAAATTGGACCCTTTGAGCGCGCTCGCGCGCGCGCTGTCATGGTGTCATCTCTACACGCTGCCATGCTGTCACCTGGACACCAGCAGGACGCAAAGGGGACAACAGGAGAAGAAGAGGACAACAGGGGAAGAAAAGTACAAGACGAGGAACGAACAACGGACAAAAAGAGTACAACAGGGGCACAAGGTCTAGCAGATGTCAACACGGGGACTAAGCAAAGACAAGAAGAGGACAAGAAAAGGTTTAGGGAATTAATAGAATATTTTTTGCAGCTAAGAGTTGAAGCTAAGAGACATTGCAAGGGGTTGCAACGGGATTGAATGTTTGAGATTCAATAATGCAGGGGAAACTTCTGCAATCTCAGGCCAGAATTCTAGATTCTAGAGTGCAGTTTGCAGGGAAAGCGTTTTCGCTCTTGAGCCCACACTCTTCATCAACAAGTTTATACTGCGTTGCAAATCAGTCTTGCAATCGTGAGCCCCTGTGCACGCGGTTTCAACGTGTTACAATGTGTCTCAGCCCAAAGTACTCTGAACATATATTTTTTCCCCAAATAGTGCTCCGCACTAAGGGGTTCTTACGGTAAGAGTTAAGCGGGTTTAGATGGCAGGCGCAGTGTTTTGTGGACGTTGCAAAAACGTTGGCAGGCGTGTGTCATTCGCAGGACTGCGTTTCACGTGGCAGGCGCAGGGAATCCGCACCATGGATGCGAGATTTTGAGGTGAAACGGCTGAATTCGTGAGAGGGGTCGCATTTTTGACCTTGAGGATGATTTTGCGTGGCCAGTGCAGCATTTCGTATGACCTGCAGCAGGCATGATTTCGTGGCAGGCACAGCATTTCTGAAACGCATTTCAAAATTTGCGAAAGCCTCGCGCAATTTGCTCATTTTGGATCTCCGATGTGCAGAGTTCGTGGCAGGCGCAGCGCTTTGTGAATCTCGATGTGCAGATTTCGTGG